AGTCCAGTCATCGATTTTGATGGCCTGAGCCGTCCTAGTATGTCGTCATCTTTCGATTTATCTCATGTCATCAAACGACGAGATAATGGAATTCCCTTCGCTCACATAGCTAACTATATTTCAGGTAAAGGCGCACGAGAACGTCTTGATGAATCCCCGGAACAAGCAGCCATCCGAATGACAAAATTGACCGGCGCAGTTCGCACAATTCTCGAATGTATCGGTGAAGATCCGGATCGGGAAGGTCTTTTGGCCACACCAGAACGTTATGCGAAAGCAATGCTTTATCTCACCAAAGGGTATCAGGAAAACGTTAGGGATATCGTCAATGATGCAATTTTCCATGAGGATCACAATGAATTGGTCATTGTTAAAGATATTGAGGTTTTCAGTATGTGCGAACATCACATGGTTCCATTCACCGGAAAGGTACGGTTACTCTTAGCAGATTGTTTGAAGCAATGAAAGCTGATTCTTACGAAACATAGATGCACATCGGCTATATTCCAGATCGAAATGTTATCGGTATCTCAAAGTTGCCCCGAATTGCAGACATGTTCTCGCGAAGACTACAAATCCAAGAAAGACTTACAAAAGATGTTGCGCATGCTGTGATGGAAATCCTTAAGCCGCAAGGTGTTGCAGTTGTTATGGAATCGAGCCATTTATGTATGGTTATGCGAGGAGTTGAGAAAACCAGTGCTACAACCATTACCAGTTGTGTTCTGGGTTGTATAGAGAAGAGAGAGAAGACTAGAAATGAGTTTTTCAGTTTGGTAGGTTTGAATAGACGATAGATAGATGGGAAAGGGGCGGCACATTCGTTTGCATTTGCATGACTAGGCGTTTTGGAAAGAGGTACAATGGTCTTCAACACCATCATGGGAGGGCGTTCATTCTTTGGTCTTAACGCCATTCACGTCTATTACGGATATTTATCTATTTGGGGTCTTTGACCTTGAAATCAAGAAATACGAGTTGGAAGGGCATCTACACTGGAAATTTACCAGTATGTCCTTTCAAATGGTTCTCGTCACTGTCCACATTTGTTGTTTTTAATGCGAATCTGTTTGTTTCATCATTTGTTATTTGCTCTCCACTTTTTTGTTCTCATCAGCGAACAACACCTAGCTCTCCAAGCTTCCCTTTTTCTACCTGTTCTACCAAACCCTTCACGGCATCCCATATCTTCTCCGCAACCTCATCTAACCCATCACCCGCATCGATCGCGTTCATTATACGTCGCTCATGCTCGAACCCTGGTAGAGCCGAATTTTGCAATGCCAGGAATCCATTCCTGACTCTTCTCTGCATTTCTCTCGTTTCGTACTTCTCGTCCCCGTACCCGCCTCGCTTTTCCGCTTCCTCGGGCTCTAAGTCCAAAAATATCACTCTATCTGGCATCGGCAGTCCTATTTCAGGATTTTTGCACCATTCGAGGGAAAGATGGTTTGGGGAATCGATTGAATACTTGGACGAGGTGTAAATCATTCCGGAATAGTAATAACGATCACAAACGATTGTGTACCCTTGGGCAATTAAATCTCGAATTTCTTGGGCTTTCTCCCATCGGTTTGCCGAGAAAAGAAGGTGTATTGACTGATCTGGGAGAGTAGTAGAGGATTGTAGGTAGAAATTTATCTGTTGGCCAATTGAGGTTGTTCTGTCTTAAATTATGAGCTTGGAGGATTCTCTTTGATCCAAAGGGTTATGATCTAGGATTGAATTGCTAGAGGTGTGAATTATTGACATAGTACATACCAGGAAACCGCATAAGCTTAACATTTCGTCCAGAAGCATATAATTTATCACATAATTTCATTACTTGGGTCGTTTTCCCAGCTCGATCGAGTCCTTCGATCAATATGAACGAGCCGCGGGAGATTGGGTTTGCAAACTCGCGGTATGGATAGGGATCTATGTTGGTAGTTGTCATATTGTAGAATGCACTTAAAAAGGAGAAACGCGATTCCAAAAAGGTTCTTAAATTCAATGGATGGGTGAAGATAGGGACAGCGGGGTACGTGTTGCGCGACGCGACACGGGGAGCGATGTGGGTGGGGGTGTTGCTTTCCGCAATTATACCCTTCGCTCTACATATAATGAAATCAAATGAAAACTTTTTGGAGAACCGTTCCAACTTTGATGTAACTTGGGATATCGCCAACTTAGTGCAACGAAGTGAAGCGAACGATTTACGAGGAGTAATTAAAATCAATTGGTTTGGCAGTAGCCTTGCGAAAGAGGTCAGCCTTGCACTCTAGCTCCGACAATCTATTCGAACGACAACTATCTATCAAAGAACATTCAGCCAGCCGTATCAACGAATGCGCCAACCACAATAATTATACGTACAGATGCTAGCATCTCAACTGCATTCTGGTTCCTTCTCCATCTGCGCTGCAGCTACATCTTTCCAGCTATAGGTACACATCATTCTACTACTAGTCAAACAAATCTATCATTCAATAGAAGTCGGCGTCCCATCCACCTCTTAGCTCCATAGCTCATTCGATCAATATGGCGGATCCTAAATTAGTATGGAATCCGGACAACGTTCGCGATGTTGCCGAATCTGTCGGTATCTCACAATTGGGCGAAGAGGCAGTGAGGGCATTGTCGCAAGAAGTTGAATACCGAGTCGGCCAGGTCATTGTCGAAGCGATGCGATTTATGCATCAAGGGAAAAGAACAGTATTGGGCACACAAGATATTTCACAAGCACTAAAAGTACTGGACGTCGAGCCACTTTATGGTTACGAATCTACAAGACCATTGAGATTTGGGGAAGCAAGCTTAGGTCCTGGCCAACCGCTCTTTTACATTGAGGATGAGGAAGTAGATTTTGAGAAACTAATTAATGCCCCTTTACCAAAAGTCCCCAGAGATATGTCATTTACTGGTAAGAATATATGGAACGTTTAGGAATGGCATGATGCTAATGAAAACAGCACATTGGCTTGCGGTTGAAGGAGTTCAACCCTCGATTCCACAAAACCCCACAACAGCAGAAGCTCGTGCGAATGACCTCGTACCTAAAGGCCCTGGTGCGAATCCCAATCTTGGAGCTCTGGCTGGTAACGATAACGTATCGGTCAAGCCTTTAGTCAAGCATATTGTGTCGAAAGAATTAATACTTTTCTTCGACAAGATACGTGAAGCTATTCTTGATGATGACGAGGATCCAGAAGTCGTAACACTACGAGAATCCGCGTTGGAAAGTGTGAAATCGGATCCAGGTCTTCAACAACTGGTTCCATATTTTGTTCACTTCATTGCTGAGAAGGTCACTCATTCTTTGAGCAATCTCTTCGTATTACAGACGATGTTGAAATTGGCACATGCCCTCATATCAAACACAACTTTGTTTGTCAATCCTTACATATCAAGTCTTTGCCCACCTATTCTTACATGTCTCGTCGGCCGTAAACTCGGTACCGGGGCTTCAGAAGAATTGAAAGACAAATATCAATTGCGAGACACAGCCGCATCTCTCATTGGAATTATTTCGAAGAAATACACAGAATCAAACGCACAGCTTAGAGCAAGGTTAGCAAGATCGTGTCTAAAATTCTTTCTAGATCCAACACGCTCTCCGGGAGAATATTATGGAGCTATCAGTGGACTTTTAGCAATTGGCGGCCCCGATGGTGTCAGAGCACTTATTCTACCAAACTTGGGCGCATTCGATTATGTGTTGAACAAGTTGAAAACTGATAGGACTGGTGATGATAAGGAGATACAGATGTTAATTGCAGTAATCATGAAAGCGGTGATGAGCCTCTCTGAAAAAACTGAAACACTCATGAATGGTACAAACGGTACAAATGGCAATGGAACGAATGGGATGATGGACTTAGATGACGACGAGGGAAAACAGCTTGAAGAGTTTTTAGGACCTACTATCGGGAAAAGGGTACGGAATGCAGGGGATCATAAATTGAACAAGACAATTTTGGAAGCGAGAGAAAAGAAATAAAGACGTTGTAATATATGGGGCTACATTTCGCATCATGGGCGTTCAAGGGTGTGTCTGGAAGGCATGAAATGGACTGGGAATCGATATACAAGTGGATACATTCACTTCAATACGTAGGTAGTTTATCATAGGATTTCTTGCATTTAAGAAATGGTAGTATTTGCATTGGGAGACAACAAGTTGCGGGTTTCGGATAGTCTGAACTGCGGTCCAGCAGTGGAAGGGGATTGGTGTGAATAAACTACAGCCCCCATATCCAAATACATGAATAAAGTAATTGGAAATTCTGAAGCTCCAAATCTCTGCGAGCAAGAAAATCACTGTCCTCCTCCTCCTCATTAACGACATTATCTCTACAGCCTCATGCTCATTCGCACATTCCTTCTTGCTCAACCAAGCTAGAATAGCACATAAAGTAGAAATGTACTCGAGTTATTCTATTTGGTTAGCCCCATCCACCCCTGAGCGTTCCCAACCATCAACAAATAGACGGCTCTCGTTCTTAGTGGCCGACTGGGAACCATCACACATTCACAGTACTTCGTACAGACAGAGCACGGTATGTCATTCTGCGAGGGATTTTCCGAGCGAGTTGAAGGATCACCTACAGTAGGTACTCGTGAGAAAGGGAGAGACAAACTATGCTGGATCCGTAATATATAAGATAGACCATGTAGACGAGCAATAAATAGTATTCACGTCACGCGTTTTTCCATAGCATTCGCGCCCTGCTAGAATGCGAGGGATGCGTATTTATTCATCTGTGATGTCACGAGTTGGGTTTTGGCAAAATCTTCTTCGGGATCGCTTTTCTCGATAACCTTGTTCTTCCACGCGAATACCATTCATTGACTTTGGTTTTCTACGATGGAATGAATGTCACTCACTATCTGTCAATGACTTTTCTGAGATGCAAGAGCACGTGTATGATACACATCACATCGATATAATCTTCCGATCCCCTCCAATCCAGTCCAGAATAGTGAAAAAGAAAAAAGAAAAACAAGTAACCAAACCAACTCTAAACACCCCCCTTAACATAATAATCCACCGGATACCCCAACCACCCACACTGTTCCAAATCCGCAAACTCCTCCACCTTCCCCGGCCAATCAATCACCATCATACTTCCCTTCTCCCCACCCCCACCTACCTCCTTCCACATCCCCGTCTCCTTCACCCCCTGCAACACCATCTCATATCCTCTACTCCTCAAGAACCCCTCTTCAGGATTCGGATTCCCGTTCCTCACAAACGCCCCAAAATACCCCACACTCAACTGTACACTCCACCAATCCTGCTCATCTCTAAACTTCAACCCCGTATTAAACGCTCCAAACACCCACGGCATGTCCGCGCCGTGAAATCGAAAATACGGCAAATTCGGATTGCCATCCGGATACCCCGGCGAAGCAGGTGGTCCCCCAAGACCATTCGGATCATAGCCCGCAACCGTGCGTCCCATCTCGTAAAAGTAACTTGATTTGAAGATGCCGTTTTGGGACCCAGCATATACGGTTGCTTGGTCTACGCAGCGGAAATCTTTATCGGTTGCTACGCGCTGCGAGACGTTGAAGGCGTCGAGCGTGAGGTTTCCCGTGTCGTAGAAGGGGAAGAGTCCGCTGTCGATGATGGATTGGGCGTAGGATTGAGATATACCGAGAGATGTGGCGATGCCGGCGACTTCGGATGTGACGGGGGTGGATGGATAGGTGGAGCCGATGGATGCGCCGTCGTTGGCAGTGATACCGAAGATAACATCGACGTGAGCGGTGCTTCCATTGTGGTTCACAAGGTCGAGTTCGGCTGTGTTGACATAGTGACCATCCTGGACAACATATCGCGCTTCCGAGCCGACCGCAACCAAATCTAGAGCGGGCACCTTCTTTAAACACGCAATCTGGGCAGATAAACTAGTCTGGTTGCATCCCGCTGCCCGAAAAATATTTTGACCGGCCAGAGCATAGGATTCGGGGATGGTGAGATATGAGGAGTAGGTAGTTGCAGAGTCACCAGAAAGGCCAAGGTCAACGCCACCACCCAGATTGGACATAGCTACTGCTCCTTGGAATTTTCCGATTGCGGGTGGTGAGCCTAAAAGTGTGCGTACAGATCCTGCACCAGCGGATTCTCCTATGATCGTAATTCTCTTTGGATCTCCTCCAAACGCAGCAATATTCTTCACTGTCCACTGATGTTATATTAGCTCCAAATGATATGTAAAAACTCGATGTGCTTCTTACCTCCAGAGCATTAATTTGATCCGCAATTCCATAATTCCCCGTGATATTCGTCCCAGGAATCGCCAAAAATCCCAAAACAGAAAGTCTATAATTAACATTCACAACAACAATATCCTCTCTACTCGCCAAGTCTCCCCCATCACTCAATTGATCCGCACCACTGCCGCCAACAAATCCACCCCCGTGAATCCAAAACATAACCGGCCTCAAATCCTTTGTCGATTTCGCCTTGGGAATATACGGAGTTTGTATATTCAGAAACAAACAATCTTCGCTCCCACTCGAAGATTGTGGACACTGTGCGCCATACGCAGTTGCTTGAATGGTTTTCCCGGTCGGCGAGTACGGCGTGGGATACACGAATCTCTCCGCCGGATTCGCATATGGAATCCCGAGAAAGCGGAAAGATTTCTGGTTGCGGAATCCAAGATATGTATTCCCACCCGCGGCAAGAGAAACCTCATTAGCATGCGTAGCAACCGCGGTTCCGGGTTGAGTTTCTTCGCTAGACTGTGTACAAAGAACCGGTAGTCTAGCATTACCAGACGTAGATTTCGGGAAACTCAATCCGTGAGCTGCATCGTAGGAGATAACTCCATCGTTGATTATACAGAGCTGAGAAGCTGACGAGCGACCACGATATGCTTGATAAGAAAGCGGAAGGAGAAAATCAGACGTGTGGCTCGTGATAGTGCTACTGCTGAGAAGCGTTTCATTCAACGCCTTACATGCTGCGGGTGCATCTTTCGGGGAGTGAGGATCCAGAAGAATAAAGCCCACGTGATTTACATCATCCGAAGCATTAAGATTATTCTGATACAAAAGCGTCAAAGACGTATCCGAATTCGAAAGTGCCGATACACGTGTGAATAGCACAGAGACGGCGAAAGAAAGATACTGAAGACGTGCAAGCACGAACATGGTGAGAAGCCTTAACCCAACTCAACCCCCGGGATACCATCGCATTTTGTAGCTCCCAGATTGCCTCTCCACAAACGTAGCTTCATCAATTGCATTTAGCCACGATTCTCCGTGAAGATTTGCGAATGTCATAATCCGGTCTACCCGGGGAATATCGTCAAGATCAATCTGCGCCTCCACTCGGAATCTTCTCACAACAAGGTTAAACTGGAGATATACTTTATCCGGTCATGCCGGGGTGCTAAAGATCATCCATTTGCGCGGACTCGAGGCGGGGTAACATGATGAATTTGATCCAATTCCAATTCCATTTCCATTTCCCCCGCAAGTTTTATATTCAACCGGTGAAAACTGGTTGACGGCTATTCGAAAAAATGAAGCCACAAGGAATCCCTAGCTAGTATGAGGACAAATCTCCAATTTTTCACACCGCCAGAATTATCAATATATTTAAGTTATAAAGCTGGCCTCCGCATCCGCAGCTTTCGGAGAGAGTGTGAAACATCAATCGCAGTGTCGTTGACATAGTTATACTATCTTTAAAATCCTGCTCGCTTAGCTTCGTACATTGTATTTATCTTGATCTTGCTATGTTGTCACCATTCTAATAAGTAGAGGTAACAGATGAGGTTAATGCTTACTAATCGAACGGTGGTGGGATCACCGGATTGGACTGGTTTGTGGTCAAGGAGTAGTATTCCATGGCCAAATCCAATTCACAAAGGAGTGTCTCATTCATACACCAATTCCCCTCAATTCATCACACCAAGCAAACACTAAACAGTCGACAATGGGCAGGAAATTTACATCCAGAGATTTATCTCATGCAATGGTATTTTAAGTCTAGATATATCATCTCCCCTCAATTCTCTCTCCCTCCTACCGCTCCTTCTCCACCATCTTTTTGGTAACGCCAATATTTTATGGAACTTTGCATGCAAATGGTATCTCAACTTCACTCAGTCTATCTATGTCAAAAAATCGCCAAAAAAAAATGTCAAAAGTCACAAGGACATATCATGATATCAGTAAGGCCTGCCTCCCCGCTACAATGTCCATGTCCCCGAACCCCTTTTCCCTCACAGTCTATCAAATCCGTCATGAAAAAAGCAAAATTGCTGCGTCGAGAAAAGAATGCAAAAACGCAATAAAAACACAAAATCAAATCAAAAAACAGCGTGTACACCTAGGCGAAGTGTCCTCCTCTCTTCTTTGCCTGTTGATGCTCGTGCAAGTGTCTTCTTCTGGCAACACCAGTTGCAGCTGCAGTAGTGGTAACAGTAATAGTAACATCTTCTTCGACCCAGACTACTTCATCAACTTCTACCTTTTCGTTAAGTGAGGAGATTGCGGTGGTTGTTGAGTAAGAGGTCGAATAGAAAGATGCCGATGAGGTAGTAAGAAGAGTAGTTGCTGAGCTTGAAACACCTGCGATTGCGTCTGCGGCGGCAGTAGATGAGCTAGAGCTTGAATATGAAACTCCGGATTCGACGGCTGCGAAAACACCACCTGGTACGTAGGTTTGTCCGAGAGAAGCGACTGTAAAACCGGAGGGTCAATGATTGCCTAACAGAGAAGAGTTTTGGAGAACGGGAAGTTGTAATTAGATTGGGAGATAGGAGATATGAATTGGGAAATGGAACGGATGCACAAAAAAGGGGAGGTGAGGGTTGACATCGAAAAATAATATCAGGCATGATAAATGGAGAGATATTCATAAGCAGTGAAATTAGTAGGCTTACCAATGGTTGATCCGGCCGAGTAAGAGAGAGTTGGGACGATGACTGATGAGCTAGTTGTGGTAGTCGCGCTTGATCCTTGGGCAGTTGAAGTTCCGTATGCTGCTGATGATGTTTTGGCGGTAGTGGCTGCGCCAGTCATAGCAGTAGCTGGAGCAGGTCCGGAATGAACGGCGCAATTTCCGGGAAGTGTCGCCATAGGCCCAACAACATCATCATCAACCAAGGCCGCTGGAAGTGTAAAGTTGCAAGATCCGTAAACACTTGCATCTTGGATATCAAAGATTGGGCAATCACTAATTTCCCCGGAAGCGTTAGTGCAGGTGGCAACAGCCTCTTGCAAAACTTCTTCGTCCCAGCCCATAATAAAATCTCCGTGGTATCCGTAGCCAGTTGGGTCACCGTTAGAAAGCATAAACTCTCCACCAACACCTTTGAAGGCATAGGTATTCCAGATAGTTTCAAATAAGATCGAGACTAGACGAGTATTGAAACCCTCTGGGCAATTACCAGTCATGACTTGGTCAGGATACGCCATGTGGGATTTTCCGTCTGGTGCAGTCACTCCTGCGGTCTCATTCCAGCATGATGGGAACATAAGTTCCATTCGGATACCATCGGGGCAATTCTCATCAAGATAAGCCTTATCCGGCATGAAATGACGGTAAAGGGTTCCTTCAGGCTGGTTTTTGGGATAGTTCAAACAGTTGAAGCCAACAGCAGCTTGTCGAAGGAAATCTTGGGTGTCATATGGAGACGTGCTCGCCCAGGATGATTTGTCAACATCAGGAACAGCATAATCGGAGAAGTTACGGAGATCAGTATTTCCTGCAATCATAGCAAAGTCTCTGGGGAAGGCAGTCACGTTATCTCCATAAAGAAGGTAATACCTGTTGTAAAGAATTAGCCACATCATTTCCGGACAATTCGAGAAGCAAACTAGTGAAAGATTCAACATACGCAAGCATACCCCCCACTTGTTCAACTAATTGGTACTGCCCAGTAGCATCATCACGGAAATAGAGCGAGGGAGTCCAGTATACAGATTTATCTTGAGAGACTTCACATGAAGTACAGTCTCCGGCCATAATATCGTCGTAGCCTGCAGACTCTCCAAATCCTGTTCGCCGTATCAAATCAGTATTCTCCTTACCAGATAGATCAATGCTAACATACCGCTAGACCCGTGAATAACATGTGCATGTGGAGAGACGGTCCCAGGATTGACTAAGGGATCAATTCTTGCCAGTCCAGTTCGAGATTTACATGGCATACGCCAGAAAGCATCAACACTGCTAGCCAACCCCGCCAAGATAGCAGCTTTTTCGACGAAAGAGTGTCCGCGCATTTTGAATATATGTATCCAAAAATCGATATCGAATTTAGTTTAGTTTATTTTGTTTCGGTGACGTTATGTAAATGATTACTTCTTGCAAGCAATGAAGAACCACCAAAGAATGTGCAGAACGAGATATGTAAAAAATCAGAAACGTTCTTGGGAAGTGGTTGAGTATTTGGTTGTAGTTGTTGTTTGTTATCCTAGTCGGAGGATTGGGTGGTATTGGTGATATTCCGGTCGGAAATTGGCGCAGCGACAAGAGGATTCCTCAAATCAAACCGTTCGATTGTAGATGATTCACTCTCAACCACAACAATGTCTTTCCTCCCCAATGAATCTTGATTCAATAAATTCAAAGTGTATCTTGTCTTTTGCCCTAGGATGCAAGGATGGTGATTTTCGTATAGTTTGCGACCTGGAGTCGTTGATGAATAATCTCGAATTCGGAATTCTTGCGTCCAACCTCACTACCCACAAACAATTTTCTGACGGCGCAGAATCGTACCGGTATGCGTAAAAGATGTCGAAGTGCGATGCGATATGATGAAAGTCCAAAACGAATGTCCAAAATGCGACAGAGATCCACAGCAAAGAATGGTATGGTATGCACACAAAGATTCTCTGGGCGTGTACCTTGGCACGAACGAGAGTCGATAAAGTGAGAGGTTAAGGAGCGTGAAGTATGTTTCTTGAAGAGAAAGAATGGAATTGTCGCTAGAGACGACAGTGAGCTTTCAACGGTGGAGAACGAGGCAAGAAACAAAAAGTGGAAGGCGATGGAAACAACGTGGAGGAGGAGGGATACAATAAAAAGGAAAGAGAGGGTAGGGAGGAAGGGGTGGGTGGAAATGGACTAGGCCGGATTGAGTACTTACTTTGGTAGAGGAAGAAGAGTGGAAGGATTCATTACCCAAGTCTCACGTCCAAGGCGACCCATACAAAGAGATCTTTTAAGTTACTCCCTACGAGTGTACGAAAATCCCCACTCACGATGCCAAGGATAGAGTGGACAAGATTGACCAAGGTGGGTAGAGTGAGGGATTTGGAAGGCTGGAGGGGAGGAGAAGGAGAAGGAAAAGGAAAAGGACGAGGATTACCAGATTGAGAAATTAGAGAGAATTACACACCACTCCCGAGCAAATGAATACGGGTACTGGATCGAGTGAATGAATGAATGAATAAACGAGTGAACAAACGAATGAATAATAAACGAATGAAATGATTCACCAATTGACTATTGAGTACCCAGCAGGTAATGAGTAATGTCCAATTGATGCGCAGAGGATGAACAGATCCAAAGTCCCAAAAGAGCGAAACCATTCAAATTACCAAGTCGATACCTCGCAGTCTTTTCCTAACACGAACGGATGGATCCGGCACTTTTGGGTACAGGATAATTATGCATGTATACTACGACTCTACAAGGCTACTTTTACTTTCAACTATTTTAATGAGTGAGCATACATGGAAAAGTAAGATCTTGTAAATTACATATATTACTTAACCTTTTTCTCATTTCCTCTATTCCTTTTCGATCCTCCGATTTGATATTGAGGAATGGGGTTGGATCATTGGTTATGCGCAGAGGTAATGCGTAGATATGGTAGTGCAGTAGTAGTACTGTGCAGCAGCAATAGATGGAAGAGACGGAAAGAAAGTAGGCGGTACAGACTCCAGAGTAGTAGTTGCATATTCTCTGGGACTTTTAAAATGCCTACATAGATAGACGTACGTGATTGGATGCCATTCTATCAATCCCTATCCATCCATCCCTTTGGGACTGGCTGGCAATTCACACCCGACCCCTCTCCATCCATCCCTTTGGGACTGGCTGGCAATTCACACCCGACCCCTCTCCAAAATTCAATCTCGGGCGGTTGAAGGTTGGAATGATATTGATCTTCTCTTTCCTTCTTCTGTTCTTTCTATCCTTCCCTTACCCTTTCCTCTCATCCTCATCCTCATCCTCATCCTCATCCTTGGCACGCAAACGCAAACGCAAACGCAAACGCAATCCCAATCCCAAGTATAAAATGTAATTGGATGGTAGGAGATGGGAATGGATTGACAATACATGATTCCATTGGCTAGCATGCAACGATTGACCCCTTGGTATCTCTTAGTTCATCCTTAGTGTGAGACCATCGGTTAAGGATGATGGATGATTTTCAGGGGGAAAACGCCTCGCGCCGCATAAACCGCTTGGGCGTGGGTGGATGTCCTGATATTAATTTGGATCTCCATCCGTAAAATTGTATGGAGAGGTCATCGTATTTTCATCTCGAGCGAAATGCCTTCTCCATTTTATCTTTTCCGATGACGATACCGAGACGCGGTGGATGCTTTATACGAGACAAACGTGGTAGGATGAGATGTTATGCCTTTTGGTTTCTCGTCCTGCGTGAGCTGTATTGGGGTGCTGTTGGCTGTTGGAGGAGGTAGATACATGACCAACAGAAAGAGAATTAAATGATAACTAATCCAAACGATAATCCAAACAATCAAAATTTGATCGATAAGAACCATCTCTTTCGGTGGCGTAAATTCTATCTCCATAAAGTTAATCCCTTCCTACCGTAATTCAACATGAAACGATCCTCGAGACCAATCACCTCCCAAAGCAAGCCAGATCATCCCGTCGTTTTTCGCACAGACTGCACTTCTTAAGGATTAGTGTGAAATGAGTACCGACATGGTATCTTGGAAAGATTACTTGTAAGTTGTTACCCAGAATTACTTGTTACCCAGATTACTTACCCAGGTAATCCTACATTTTGAATCATTTATTATTCATTCTTAGACAGCTGCTATCTTTGAAAGATTCCTGATTCCTTATCACCTAGGCATTACCGTGTATCTAGATGCACTTTGAACATTCCATTCACACGCTCGCATTTTGAGTCTTGGGATTACATTACGAAGCAAGTACACCGGCGCAGCATCAACTCCAAATATTCCATTCCCTTGGAAGTTGGCACACAACCTTCAGCCTTCTTTACCCAATCTACATTCCTCATTTCTCTTTCCCCTAGCAGTCATAATATACCATACCATAATATACCATGCCATGCCATGCCGTGCCATGCCGTGCTCCGTCGTGCTGTATTTTCCGCTGTACTTTCCTTCACTTTCTCCGTTGGCTCGACAGCACTGCATGCACTGCATCGGGTCCACACCGGCGCTTGCAAACCCAAACCCCCTTTCCTATGCACGTTTGACGGACCTCCCCATCTAATTACTCTCTGCCTACTCGTCGTCCTCCCAATAATATGACATGATTCACCAACCCCAAGCACACGCAAATCACCACCAAAAAATTCAGATGACGTGAAATGTTTTCCATACAGCTTTCGTTTGATATAGTAGGCACTGGTACTGTCATCTTCAAATTCAAATTCAAAACTTCATTCCCTCCCGTTCATCTGAATGTTCATCCGAGCAAAGACATGTCCTCAAAGTCATACAGAGTACTTCGTAGAAAATCAAAGTCACAATAGAAGCCAAGGTTAATTCTCGCAGTTCAAACAATTACTGTATAGTAAATACATTAATAGAGAAGCTTTCCTCGGACCATTGTATTATATCATATCATATCAAATCATGAATATACTCTCCACCAATTTGTTTGCTCTGTATAAAGTAATAATAAGTATTGTTATTATTATCTAAATACTTTATTCGTCTCTCACTCACTCACTCCTCACTTACCATCTACTTTCACAGCATACCTACCTAGTAATATAATTTCATAGCAAACATCAATCAGCCCTGTCATCAAATAATCATCCATTACCTAGTATCTAACCATTTCCACACGTTCCACACTCCCAAGACACACACACACACTCTCTCTCTCTCTCTCTCTCTCTCTCTCTCTCTCTTTCCCTCCCCCCTCCCTCAAAACCTTCACATGTCAAGACTCAAGACTCAAGACTCAAGACTCAAGAAAGACAACACCCCAGAACAAAAACAAGAATCGGAAGAAAGTAAAAAATAGTACTGGAAATTACCTACCTACCGACCTACCTACCTCCACTACTATCATTACCCAAACCCCCTAAACCCTCCCACCCAAAATCCACCATCCAATCCCCCAACCCATGAAGACCGAAATTGCCAAGTCATTACATGCACGAAATCCGTCCACAGCAGCGACCGCCAAACTAGGGTATACCCATTTGGAGTGTTACAGGAAATGAACACATAAATCAAACATTCTCCATTCTACTCGACGTCTTAAAGCTTTTGGATTCCCGTGTTCATCATCGTCATTTTAAATTGTTTGTAACCCGTGAAACAGTCACTTTCACTCAAACCGCCAGTTCAATGCAGTTTATGTTTGTACGCTTCACGTTAGGCTGTGTAGGATAGAGGGTGCATCGTCACATGCATCATATGCAATTCATACGTGTAGGAGCGGCGCGATAATACAACCATTAGGCAGGTAGGCAAGAAGAGGGGAGATGTGTGCTAAGTCGGTGTCCCATCGGCCCATCGGCCCATGTTGGTGGGATGATGGATGATTCCTTCATGGTCAACTATTTTGGGCCGACCCCAGATTGCTACACGCAACTAACAAAAAATTGTCCCCGGCTCCTTGTTGGCTTCATGTTAGAGACCACTGGGCAGAGCATTCGCAACGTTCGTGACCATTCCTTCAGATCTATCAGGAGACGAACAACCCCCAAGGAGGGAGCGAAGTATAGTAATATCCATATTGATTACATCGAAATTAGTAAAACTTGGAATTCGTGCCTCATCTAAAAGCTTCCCTCTTGTCATTCATTGGAGGGGATTGCTTGTGAATTTGTGTCAATCTGTTTTCTATATCCAACATGTTAGCTTAGTACACTGGAATGGCGGGCACTGAGAATACTCACTTTATTGGACATGTCCCGTTTCCTCCACGCAAGTTGTTTTCTTGACGTGCTTATGAAGCACCGTCGTTTTCTTCATTTATGTTACCTCGACCAAATCAGGCTAAACAAATTAAGTAAGGAGATCCGCAACATTCATTGGCATCTCATCGATTTGAGTAGAGTAGTACACTGTTTCAAACATATTAGCACTTGCGCGGCAGGATTCGAGGAGGGGAAATACTTACACTCAATATCTCTCAAAATCCTAACGTCTTCACTGGTCACGAAATTGATCGCAACACCCTTTCTTCCGAATCTACCACTTCGACCAATGCGATGAATATAGTTCTCACGGTTAACTGGTAAGTCATAATTGATGACCAATGAAACTTGTTGAACATCAATTCCACGAGCCCAAACATCCGTAGAGATCAACACTCTAGAATTTCCTTGGCGGAAATCTTGCATAATGCTATCTCTTTCCTTCTGAGGCATCTCTCCGTGCATAGAAGATACGGTAAAGTTGGCCTCGCGCATCTTATCGGTCAACCAATCAACCTTTCTTCTTGTGTTGCAAAAAATGACGGCTTGAGTAATAGTGAGGGTGTCGTATAGATCGCAAAGTGTGTCGAATTTCCAATCTTCTTTCTCCACAGCAATAAAGTATTGTTTCAAACCTTCCAAAGTCAACTCATCACGCTTGACAAGAATACGGACAGGGTCGGTCATAAATTTCGTAGTCATGTCGAGAACATCGTATGGGAGGGTAGCGGAAACGACAACGACTTGTGTCGCAGGTGGGAGGTAACGGTAGACATCGTAAATCTGCTCCCTGAATCCACGGTTTAACAACTCATCCGCTTCATCAAGAACCAACATCTTGATATGACGAGTGCGAAGATTTCGTCGACGAATCATATCAGCAACACGACCTGGTGTTCCAGAAACAATATGTTGTCCGTAATCCAGCTTGCGGATATCCTCTCCAACGTTGGTACCCCCAATACAAGCGTGACATTGTACATTCATATAGTCTCCCAAAGCCATAACAACGGACTGAATTTGAGTCGCAAGTTCTCGAGTAGGTGATAGGACCAAGGCTTGAGTTTCGCGGACAGCTGTATCGATGACTTGAAGCATACTGATAGAGAAGGTTGCAGTTTTACCAGTACCAGATTGGGCTTGAGCAATAGTATCGCGACCTTTGCAGATTTGAACAATCGCACGGGATTGAACAGCTGAAGGAGATTCGTAACCATATGCGTAGATACCACGGAGTAAATTCTCTGTATAGTTGTAAGCCTGATGACCAGAACCATATACATATACATATAAACATATAAACATACCCTTCAGATGCATGTCCTGGAAAGTTGGCGCAACAGTAACATCTGCAGAAGTTGTAAACTCCATGCGATCATCCATCTTTCTATCAATTCCTTCGGCCATGGTTGCGAATGAGTTTTATCTTTTCGTATTGAGCTCAAGGTCGATGGTTAAAATCCCAAAGTTATCTCTTAGAAAGTCATTGAGGTTTCTCCGCCTTCATAAGATGCGACAAAGCTCTGAAATTTTAGCGTCAAAATTTAAAGTTAGCGGCCGTCTGTGGATTCACGCGAAGTGATTGGTTGGCGCAAAAAGTTCAAGAACTAGAATCATCAATAACAACCTGTACATCTATCAATCGTTTTGTTGATTCTCCTCTATTAATCTTATTAATCTTCCACGGCAGGAACAAAACCATCATTAAAAGTCAATTTGACACCAATCGTTCGAGATGATATTAGAAGAGCAAAGATTCCTCCATGAGGATCTTGAAAGGCTGGAACAAGGTATTGCTGATAGAGTAGCTGAAGATCCAAAACAGGTAAGAATTGAAGCTATGTGCCTTTCATCAGTCAACCGTTCTAACCTATTATCAAGGTTCGAGAACGATTGAATCGAGATCATCAAATCGGGCACTTCCTAGATCGAATTCAAGATCAGTCCAAACGTTTACTAGACATATATAAAGATGTAGATGGCGTACGAAGTAAAGAGATTCAATCCATATCGACTGGCGAACCATTGGAAGAGTTCTACAAGCAACTTGGAGAGATCAAGAGCTTCCATCAAAGATACCCGAATGAACCTGTTGAGAACCTCGAAAAGGCTTACAAGAAGAAAGCACCTATGGAAGGGGAGACTGCTACATCGGAAATCGACAACATGTTCACTGGAGAGGAAGCATTTGGTCGATTTCTAGACCTTACTACCATTCACGAATTATTCCTAAATCTCCCTAATATTAAACGTCTTTCCTATCTACAATACCTGGACAATTTCGATTCGTTCGCGCCTCCAACATGTCCCGTGAAACGTCCAGATAAGATGACCGATCAATACTTCGCATACGTTGGGGAACTAGCAAACTATCTAGAAAGCTTCATGCGCCGAACAAGACCATTGGAGAATCTAGATAAATTATTCGCGACCGTCGAGGAAGATTTCGAAAAGGCCTGGAAAGATAATGATGTTCCTGGGTGGAAACTTGAGATTACAGCACCCGTGAATGGATCGAGTGCATCTGGAATATGGTGCGCAGATTGTGAGAAGGAGTTTAAGAATGAAAACGTATACAAGGGCCATTTACCAGGAAAGAAGCACGTTCGAGCCGTAGAGGCGCGAGCAGCGCGAATGGCCGAAACAGGAGAGGACAGCAATGGTGCCACACAACCAACGTCATCTACAGCTCGCCTGAAGGAACGTGCCATAGCGGAGCGAGAATACAGAGTAAGACGTCTCGCAGCTGCCATGACACAGGAAAGAAGTGACACTCGAGTCAACGTCGAACGAAAGCAAGGTATGACCGAGCGTGAACGACAAATGGAGCTTGACGCATTATTTGCCGAGTCATCGTCTGCAACGCCTCGAGATGGAGATTCAGACAGCGAGTCAGACAGTGACGACAAGGTCTATAACCCGTTGAAGCTGCCATTGGCCTGGGATGGTAAACCTATTCCATTCTGGCTTTACAAACTTCATGGACTCGGTGTGGAGTTCAAATGTGAGATTTGTGGAAACTATGTTTACATGGGCAGAAGAGCTTTTGATAAGCATTTCAATGAGGCTCGTCATATTTATGGGTTGAAGTGCTTGGGCATTACGAACACCACATTATTCCGCGAGATCACGGGAATTGAAGACGCGTTGAAATTGTGGGATAAATTGCAAAGAGAAAAGAAGAAGGGAAAGACTGAGGAGACTGGTGTTGTTCAAATGGAGGATGCAGAGGGAAATGTCATGCCTGAGAAGGTTTACTATGATTTACAAAAGCAAGGCTTGCTATAGGTATATGGCTTAATGGCGTCGGTTGGAAGTGTATAATAAGAATGCATGTATCATACCCACTACAAAGAAGATTACGAGTTATTTCACTTCATGATGAATAATGGTGTTTGTTCCAGTTTGCTACGTTGTCCCCGGCGTAAAAGAAATTGCTCTTTCTAGTTCGCAGTACGAGTGCCTATTCCTCATCAGTGTAGGATAACGGGTTACTCAGTGCTAGTGGTGCGATCAGGTACTAGCACCGTTGAGTTGTCACTAGTATCATTGTCTGAATTGCCAAGACCTCTAGACCTACATATATTTCATACAAATTATGAAGAGCAAAGCACTACATCGACTTACACACAGTTTTTTTAGTATCTTTGATAGCTCCTCTCCCTCACCCTATTATACTTCCGCTGATTTTCCTCGCATGGCTCGTTTCCATTTCTGACCCTCAACAAATTCCGAATCTATTATGTCCCCCCCCGCGGGATCTGGTAGATACTAATATTCTTCAGCTTGACTAAAGATCTCATTTGTATACCTAGTTCCTACTTTAAGCAAGCAAGAGCTGGCAACTTCCTTCTTGATACATAGAATTGATCACAGTTGGCTCTCGCTCTTTAGAGATATAATGTATTAATGTATTAGTAGCATGTTGATGTATACATGGTCGCGTTTAAAGGATGTGAATCTCATTCTAAATAGATGTGCGTTTAAAGTGCTTTAAGATTTGATGTGAAGGAGTTTTGTGGGAAATGCCGAAGAGAAAGTTGCTGAGGCATAATGCACGCAAGATTGTGGGTGATTGTGTAAAATGAGGTGTACAAAGAGTTTTATATTCTCATTGTTTTTTTTGTTTTTGTTTTTGTTTGGCTGACCATCTTCAACTTTTAAGAGGACAGAAGGGGAGAGAAGGTTATTGTATGACTTCGCGTCGGAGAGATCCCGCTGTTTCTTCCCATTCATAGGATTTGGACTAGGCGGAACGCTTGAGTTTTATATTTCATTGGACTTGTAAGCTTCCATGCGCAAAGGTGTCATATTCAAGCACGCTTATCAGAGTTCAATTGCCATGTTCATTATGTCATTCCCTTCGCATTCAGAGTAAGATTTTTAAACATCTCAGACTGAGATATTTTCGTTTTGCTATTCTGATTCGTCTTCAACATCATCGCTTTAATAGTCGCAATTTCGACGATCGCATTCTCGATCAGAGATCCAACGCAAGCTTTAAGTCAGTCCCACCATATAATCAAATGTATAAACAACGCTCCCATAAGTAAAAAAAATTCCCATTAGTAACCCCCCCAAAAGCAATTCCTCTGAACGACGTGTTCCTCATGAGACCCTTACCATCTTCGCCATTCTTCCCGAGTCATTTTCCTCGGCACATTGTCCACAGCCACACCCAGCATCGCTGAACCACTTCATCAGTTTCATACGGGCATAAATTCTTTTATGACTTATGGCCCCATCTTCTGATTGTCCGATGGCTAATTTGGGCTGTTTTTCAATCTCCTCGGGGCTGTAACCGCCCATAGGGTCACCCACATAGCTGATCGTCAACTCTTCGCCTGCCTTGATATCTCTATTGGCCCTGCAACTCACGCTACTACTTCCTGGTTTAAGCACCTCCTGGTTTGGTCCGTCTCCAGCTATGAGTGCCGATATGTCCTGGGCTCCGTTTAAACATGTACCACTCCACATCACGTTGTATCTGCAACTATGGTTGAAGAACGAATAGCTAGGACTGATTACGATCAAGCGCGCCATTGTAGGTCCCGATTCGGGCGTGCGAGCGGAACGGAATGATTCATCCAGTTGAAGACCAGAAATGTCAATTATGCTATTATTAGCGTTGTTCAGCATGCGCCAGTATATTGTCTGGATCAGCTCTGGGGTCCACATATTGGCCAGATACTTGGTTTTGCCCTCGTGTACCTTCTTGACGGGAGAAAAAATATCAATGCCGAGATCACGGAGAATGCGGGTAGGTGCGACTATGTTCTCCTGATAGGACCAAGTTTGGCCATGAATGGCTTCTTCTTCATCACTGGCGTAATTAGCTGTCAGCCTCGCTAGCAGCGGATGTTGTAAAGGGTTCTTCTGAGGGGTCGAATCTTTTGACCAGCCAGGTGTGCTTAGAACGATACACATTACGCGCAAAAACATCCTAGGGTCCCATTCAGTTTGAGACGCGCCAGTTTTGTAGAGCCAGGTGAAATCGATACCACACTGAATCTTATGATAACTTCCGATAGCAAGATCATGACAGCCTTTGGAGCAGAACGATACGTTACATCCGCATGATGGTCGACAAATTTGGATTGGTTGCACGAAAGGAGGAGCGAGATGAGCATGACACGTGTCGCAAAATTGACCGGTCGAAGGCGGGATATTTGAAACACATACATGTGTCTTATCGACTAAAATTGATTCTCCTTCTTCGATATCACGCGTGGCAATAATACCCAGGGGGCCAACATCTGCGTTCTTAGGAAGATCAGAAAGTGATTTGGATTTTGATGCTGTACCTGGAGATCCGAAAACCACAGGTCGGACTTCTGCGTTGAAAGAATTAAATGTGGAGTTGACCTGTCTGACCAAACGGGGTGTTCGGACAAAAAGCTTTGGAGCCATCCACGGGTATTTTTTCTGATATATCAATCCTGATCTACTACTCGCAATGACATTGTCAACTGACCCATTCTTGGCGTTTACGACTGTTTCTTCATGTCTATTCTGGAAAGATGCAAACAATAGTTCTTGAAGATTGAGTAATTCGAAATCGCCTGGAAAATCCTCTAGACCAAGTTTGACCACCGTCAAGCCATCCCAGAATGCCGCACAATGCATCAATCCCTGAACCAAACAACGATAAGCTTGAAGACACATCGATTGTAGTTCGTCAATAATCATTACTGTCGAGCTTGTGTAAAGCCGAGTCGCGACCGCGGTATATACTAATAGAGAGAGCTCAGATTGTTGAGGAGTGATGGTTTGAAGACCAGCCTTGATAAGAATAAGAGCGCGATATGCGTAATTGGACGCGGTGTCCTTAAAGGCAAGTTTGTCGTCAAGTTTGGCAAGATCGATGTATGTGACGGGATCATGGGGCGCAATGGTCATATCATGAATAAGTGCCTTGCGGTAGAGAATGAGACCGTCGAGCTGATTCTGTTGAATGAATAATTAGTTACCGCATTCAAGATTTTGTGTGAAACTTGCCTCTTTCTGAAGTTCGATGGATTCCTCAGTGATGAGATCAAATTGACATGTTCCAGTCCATTCGTGACGGATTTTAAACTTTTCGGCGTCTCTTTCGATGATGCTAGGTACGTATTCCATTTGAGAGACTTCAGTCACAGCAGTGTAGTTAGCACTACAGATGGCTTCGACTGGATCAGCTAAGACTGCAGGAGGTGTATCAGAATGGATTGGAGAGTATGTTATTACTTCAGTGAGTTCTGGTTCTGTAAAAGCCACTGATAAGACCTCCTCCGCGGCTTTCTCGAGTGATTCGGTGTCTGTCGACTCCAGCGATGGGGGCAATTCCTTTGCAAGATGTCCGTCGACCACTTCGATACGATCAACTTCTGGCTTTCCGAGTGCCTTCTTGTTCTCTTCAACTTCCGGTTCGTTTCCAGGGACGAGCTCAAGAGCTGCATCTTTCCATAATGGAGAAGCAAGTTCAATCACCTTCTCAGGCTCGGCCTTACACTTGGTATTAGGCTCTTCGTCATAGAGCGACTCAAATATTGACGCCACTCTCCTCCTGAATTTATCGGAGTTCGAGATTTGAATGACGAGGGGGGGGGGCCTTGACATAATGGCTCCACGACCACATGGGGAGGTGGGAAGAGTGTCGATGAAGTTGAATTTGTTAGGAGAAGGAGGGGTGGTGGGCTCGGACATTGTTGATATAATTTCCGTTAAAAATGATATGGTGGCAGTGAATTGGTAGATGATCCAATGAACAAGCAATGAAGAATAATTGTTGTGTTTGTTAATAATATATAAATGTGCAAGGTAACATTGAGAGTTGGACTAGGCCTAGATAGAAGGGGATTAGATATGGATCATAGGATAAATTCAAGACAGTGTTTTTAATATAGCAAGCAACAAAAGGAAGATTATCAATACAAATACAACATGAAAGTAGGTGTTTGTGACCAACCTTAAGTTTGCAATCTGAAGCGAGGGAGCTGCAGAACGCAGGTATCCCTGAACTGCTGGCCAACAGAGGCCAAAGGCCAGTGGGAGTAACAAAACAACAAAAGATAAGCGGGTCAAACTCGAAGACTTAATAGCGCAGTACTAAGGATGAAAACGGTGAGGATGTAGGTATCTTGAAATGAGGTCTGGCAATAATTTTTCGGATTGAGTGTAGTAAAGTATGAATAAGGATAGATGCGCAAGTTGTTCTCCTGTGCCGAAGACTCCTGGGTGTTTAACTGTGGTTCTTACTTTTTCGAGACTCATGCCCTCGCAGGATAAGAGGCGGTCCTTATAAATAGAGGCTTGGGACATTTTTGAAAGGAGGGAATAGGGAGAGAAAGTGGGGTTGAAGAGAATCACTAGAATCCTGATTCACCCCGATCAACAGTGTGACTACATCCCCGCCAATTTGGCTGCGATTGTGTTGACAATGGTGACAGCAATATAAGCATAAACCCAAAGGACAACAGCAAGACATAAGTTCAAATTATTGGCGTTATCGAAAACTGTTTGGGAGACGATATATACAAAATGCTAGTGAATGATATGTAAAATAGTCATACAATAGTGTAACGAGGTTAAAATTTCAATAACAAGGCGTACTCATTCAAGTAAAAGCCCCGAGCCACTAGCATGACACCAGAAAGACTCTCCTTGTTTAAGCGACAATAGCGTCACAAAATTTCGACAGTAAAAAGATCCATAAAATTTTGCTACATCGCAGCCACAATGATTTTTTGTAGTATCAACCAAAAGCCTTCCAAATTATGGCTTTCCATATCTGAGGCTTCGACCCTTGTGGTGTTACTAAAAGTAAGGACAATGTGTCTTCAGAGGCGCGTACTCATCCGCACTAGCATTAGAGCGGAATATGGAGTACTAACATCCAATCAACCATCAATTGCCCGTCACCAGATCTCAATAACACTACCTAGGCACAAGGCTTCTCGAAAGCCATTGAGGTTTGCAATAATTACAAATGGCAACAACGGTAGCGGAGAACAACTGCTAAAGTGACTTTTGAACGAGATATTTCTTCTTCTCACCAGAGCTCAAAGCTTTATTAAATAACCAAATCAGACAGGTTATTTCGACATTGTAAGGTCTGCGTAGATCATACTGCGCTCCATTCCGAATTGCAAAGAAGAAACGTACCTCAATTGGGTGAATCCAAGCGGTCAGCTCAAGCAATTCATGATCGATGAATCTTTGAGGTGAATATCTGCGAAAATGTTGTCAAACTTCGAAAGAACGTGCAGATAGTTGAATTTTCTTGGCCACTTAAATGACAGCGCAAGTCAAATAGAGAAATCAAGTGTATAATTAAGATGACTGGATGGATAAAATTAACACGATGCGGCGGCGAGAAAAGATGGATGTGATTGTCGAAGACCACAGTCTTGTGTTTGAAACGAGTTACCAGCAAAAGCTACTAAGCGATATCCAGACATAGCAATAGCGAGAAATCACTTTATCGATACGCTCTCCATTGTTGTGGCATTGATAGAATAGTATTGAGAGGCAAAAGCATTCTATTGTCAAAAGTGAGTCTGAACCAGAGCGCTCACTCTTCACTTCGGAAGTGAAAAACTATTGATATTTGCAGAAGTAGACGACAACCAAGAAGTTGAACAAGATCCCTGCGGCAATCTCTTGAGTATTTCTGACATACAATCTTATCAAAAGGTGATCTCTGAACTTTATGTGTTGTTGTACCAGGAAAAAGTCGATTGGCTCGCAACTCTTGGTTTTCCATCGAGGTTGTAAGGATTGCTCTGTTAGATTAAGATTTACGATCTCAATGGGTCATGAATTCTTTGCTTGATAGTCCTGAGTGGATGCAAGATAGTATCGCGCAATTTTGCAGTTAACACTTATCTGTAGAGAAGTAAAGCTGAGGCACATTTCCAAGCTCGATCGTGCGTGCTGAGAGGAAAGAGCAGTATGTGAAATTAGCTCGTAGCAAGTGCTCCGAAAGGGACATCGGACTTTCGAACGAGAAACCAAACATGTCTTTCAAGATACGTTGTTGTGCAGTCAGATTATCTAGATCCTGGCGGGTCGGCTCAACTTACTTCCGGTTGATGCTCTCCAAAATCGTGCTTGGAGCACTAAGTAACTTCAGCAGTCAGGATCGCACTAGGGCCAATTCACTGATAAATATGCAGCACTTTATCTCCTCTCCAGTTGTTTTTGCAATGTAATTGCAACCAGTATTCCTGTGTGAAATTGCAGTCTTTTGCTTCCATGAGAAACGAGTCATTGCACACTTCTAGTTGAAGGATTCGGTTTCTAAAAGAACATCTTGGCATACAGCGGTAGCTCGAGGTTTCCAGACAAACAATAGAACTGACATAATTTCTGGAGATAAACCCTAATCTATGGATTGCGATACACACTGAGACATAACATGGGAAAGCTGCGCTGGTCCAATTTCGAAAAATGCAGAAAACTTACTAAATTGAATATAAGCAAAGTGTATGGCATATAACAGTAGAGAGAACCAGTAAGCTGAGTTGGTGTTGCTCCTAAGTACTCAGTTCCTTCCCCAAATCACCTTTTCCTTACCTTATATAATGTTGAATCTTAAATCTTCGCCTTCTCCTTCGGCAACCAGACACTCTGTGCATTACACCAATGTTTCAATCCCACCAATCCCCATGTCATTCCAATCCCGCTGTTCTTGAACCCCCCAAACGGTACTTTGGCGCTAAGATAAAAATGAGCATTCACCCACACACTTCCAGCCTGTAGTTCCCGAGCCATCTTCTCGGCTCTCTTCACATCTTTGCTCCAGACCGACGCCCCCAATCCTGTATTGGTATTATTAACTCTGTCTACAATATCCTCATCTGAGCCGCTCCATTTGAGAACCGGAAAAATAGGACCGAAAGGCTCGAGTTGCACGATTCTTTCGGTGTCGGGCGGGTTATCAATGATGGTTGGATTGACAAAATAACCTCTGCTCAGTGTGTCGTCCGTTTTAAAGCTGTCATTTGAACCTCCAAGGGCGACTTTAAGTCCATTCTTTTTGATGTCGTCGTAGAAAGTTTGAACCGTGTCCATTTGCGCTTTGCTTTGCAACGGGCCTACCCAACTTGTGGGATCACCCCCAGGTCCAACTTTTAGCTTGGGTATATAAGCTACGAGAGCTGACATGAACTCATCGTAAATGTCTGCATGGACGTACAGACGCTTTATGTCCATGCAAATCTGACCGGAGTTCAGCAATGCGAGATGAGCGACCTAATTCAAGTGTTGATTAGCTCCGTTCGAAGTGAGAAAATAGCACCACAAAGACCCAACTATTGTGATTTGCTCCGAGTACTTTGCATCTTGATCATTCGGAATGAAATATTTTGGGAGCTCAGCTGGTGGCCACCCCCTGAAGGCGGAAGGCAAAATTCAAACAAGAAACGGTCTGTATGACATACCTGAGGAACCACGTTTGCGATATCGACATCCTCACATATAATACACGAGTCATTCCCACCCAATTCTAAGGTAACTCGCTTCAAAGTTTTAGCACAACTCTCCATTACCTTTTTACCCGTTGCAATGCTCCCAGTAAATGCAATTTTGTCAATCCCAGGATGAATAGTACACATGGGTCCGAATTCGTGTCCACCACTCAAGGCCTGCACTACTCCCGGAGGAAAGAATTTGTTTGCCAATTCCACAATCTTGAGCCCACAATATGGCGTATCAGGACTGGGCTTCATGATAATTGCATTCCCAGCCCACACCGAGGGCACTAGCTTTCCCATCGCAAGCAGAATCGGATAGTTCCAAGGTACTATTCCACACGTCACTCCAATCGGTACATATCTCACACTTGCGACCATGGTATCGGTTTCTTCAACAACTTCTTCGGTAAGCAAGAGCTCTGTGGTTTCTCGAATCATGGCTAAACCACGAGCAAACTCATCATGGGCAAGGAATTTTGCCTTCCCTTGTTCCATGATAACTAGATCAACGAATTCCGATTCGTAGCTTGCAAATGCATCGGCGAAGGCGAGCATGATAGCGCGACGCTCTGTGATGGAGGTACGAGTCCAGAGCTTTTGAGCTTTCTTCGCTGCTCGCACAGCTTCATCGAGTTCCGTGATGGTGGAGAGTGGAACCTCAGGGTTGGCTTCACTGGTAGATGGATTGATGCCATGTCTACTTTGCGTCGTTTTGCACAATTTTCCATCGATTGTGTTTTGAAATGTCTGAAGTGCTGTTAGCTAAATAACTTGACATCAATTTTAACGATGGCCACATGAAATCTAATCTCACCACAAAATCCATCCTCTTCTCTGTATTATTTAACGCCATTTTCGATCCAAATAAAAAATCGGGCAGTTCAATTGGAGCTCAAATATCAAGCTCAATGCAAATGCGATCAACAAAAAACCATTACTCGAATGGAAAAGCTCACGATTAAACCCATTTGTGTGCTTATTACCCATCATTTGAGTCCGCTTTCATGCATCACCAAAAATTCCTTATCAGCTATTTCACAGCTGAACATTCCTTGTGGCATTTGGCGGTGAGACAGAGCAAGGTTGTAATTGGCCTCTGGCATTCCCCGCACATATGTGTACTCGGGTCAAGTTACCCACAATGAATACAACAGTACTAAAAGGTCATAAATCTGAGAACCGCTTATACGCGGAAGACTGCCACTAGACGAGATTTATCTCAAATCGCCCGTCTGTGGTACAATTGAAGCCTTTCAATGTAGCACCACTTGAGTTACAATGTGACTACTTCTCAGAGACTACCGACCGGGGCTTGAAACTATAAGACACACAAGCTTCACGGGCAATCGCTTCGCAATTGGTCTAATGTTCCTGTATTATTGCACCCAAATTCGTGAAGCTAAGTTCGATTCGATCCCGCCGAGGTATCTGCTCATCATCGTTATATTATAATCTTACATCGCCAACCCATATCAAAAAGCGCTACAACTCTGACGATCCTTTGCCCCCATTTATTCTACTCATACGAACACTACTGATTTTGGTGTTGGTCGTCTTCGTGATGCCCATGCCCCAAATAGAGTCCTCTTCGCTACTGAGACTCGTCGAATCACTCGTATCTCTATTTGTCCCTCTCCCTCCACTGAATTTACCTACATGCTTGGATATCCGCTTGCTATGTGGCTTGCCCCGCGGTTTTCCAAGTTCTAAATCGATCTCCTGCGGTTTCATATGATCTTGATGCTGTGATTGTTCATCCGAAGAAAAATCGTAAACATCGCTAGTCACCTTCTGCTTCCCCGTCGCAATCGTTGTTGTGACACCCGCATTTAAGGGAATATCATCTCTAAGTTTACAATCGTCGGCATCCTTCCCCAAGCTGGCCGTTCTCGAACCCCCCAAATTTGCGTTCTGGCTTTTTTGCTTAATGTATCCACCGCTTTTAGCATCTCCATAGCCACCCCAAGCTTTACTTGGGTTACTAAGACCTTTAGTCGAGCTACCAAAAAGCCTGGTGCGTGCAAAAAAGTTGCGAAAGAGCGGACGTAATGTAGCGACTGAGCAGGCCGTAATGCCGATGCCTGTCTCGACAGTTGACCAGATAGCTACATCGACGGTTGCGTAGAGAAAATCGGCCATGTTTGAAAGATCGTGAAGGTATGGAATGCGAACTATGGTTGCGGTAGAGGCACTGTATGATAATCATGTAAGTTTCATGCTGATCCTCCAGGATCCCAAGTGAAAGCAAGGCTGAGGATGGTAACATGAAGTGAGAAGCACGTACATAGCACCCATGGATAGAATAATTGCCACACTGATCTTATCTCTAGGTGTCATCTGGAGGTTCCACACCACCCATATCGGGATCAAACTCAAAATCCAGTCCGTGGCGCAGGTTATAGCGCTATATGCATATCCGGCATCGACTGGAACATTGGCATCTATACACTTTCCCGTTCCGTTCGTATACTTCGTCCAGAAATAGTTCGAGGGTTGACATTGAAAAATAAAGACAAGAAAGTAGAAGATGCCACCTATTTCACACAACACAAGAGTACCAAGAATGATGTAGCGATGCAGTGGTACGTTCGAAAGGCGGAGGAGGAAAACTGCAATAGAAAGCTTAAGAGCCATGTTGGAGACGACGTATACGGGTTCGCATAACCACCAATACTGATGAGATGTTAGAAAAGCTGAAAGAGAGAACAGTGCCATTTCAAAAGAGGCCCGACCAAGTGAGCGTAGGAGTCTTTGTTATGTGACTATTCTCAAAACGAAGAGGTCTCATGGTCCTCTTCGTGTTTGATGCCGAAGGCTTGATCTATTGGTAAGGGAAAGATCGGCCATATTATAATAAAGCAAGGACTAAGAGATTGGATTACCTTGAGACCGATTGGGACATGTTCTGTTGGAATGTCCCAAATATGTTTTCCACTTCCATAAGTTACAGCAGACAGGGCGAATGTAGAATATACCATAAAAAATGCCTGTTGAAAAATCAGTCAGCAAGCAAGACACCTCGTAGCCAATTTAAGCGTGTATAAGAATGAAAGAGAGAACTAACCCAAGCAACAACAGCAAGCGTATCATCCCAACCAAAACTTTTGATAACAACAGCTCGGCAATATGTTCGCATCCAAACGGACAGTGTAGTTAACACAATAAACAGTATCACGACTCCTTGAATTTGTGGCCCTCTATTCTCATGTGACCCCGCGCGTACCGATAACACCAAAGACTCCATTTTTCAGTTGACAGAAGCAATAACCAGTCGTGTTGAAATTGGCACTGGTAGCTGCTGGTATGACCTCCAAATATTTCCCCAATTTCTCCACGAACACAAGGACGGACTGGACGTCAAAACTCGAACCTTAATGAATGTGGGCAAAAGGCTAGTAGATAATGTGCGTCTGGCAAATCTAAACGAACCCCTCGATAGCACAGGACCCAGAGAACGAATTTTATTTGTGCAACCCTTCGATTGGGGGACCCACGACCACATTTGAAGCATTCATGATCCTTTCAACACAAGGAACCAGGTATGTAAATGAAGTTCAGGTATACTTCTAGATTCTCGGTCACTTTGCCCCAGAGTGGATTTGGGAAAGTAGATCTGCTATTGTACATGGAAAGACGGGAGAGCAAGGCGTGATCAAAGCGTTGAGAAGTCTACCATTTAATCATCGGAGACGTCCCAAACAGGAAGGCAATACCGTTCTTAGATTCTGTTGGCATCACTGTATAGTAACATTGGTAATACTTACTAGGTATCAGCACTGGATATGGAATTGACAATCTGATACGCTGATCCCAAGTCCTATGCAAATATATAGTGTGCTGCCAACGTGCTTGTCAAGGCTAGTCAAGGTTGTTCCACCTGTCAATAAGCTACTTGACTAGATGCTGAAATCATCAGCCACCATTTAGTGACGCTTTCGGAAGCTCATATGCGTGACTTCCAATTGTAATTGTATCCAAATGTAGGGATCAAGGTAGCTTACCAGGCTTAAGGTACAAGACTGACTGAACCGGGACCCAGATATAATAAGTTTTAACTTGAACTATCACAAATTTGTGAACGGAGTAATGATCATACCAAGCTTTGCCCGTCAAAATCAAAAGCTGGCTGGCGTGCTTGCTGGATCATATCAGTCGTTTTTCATAATCTTTGATGTAACACGAGTACCGATAGAGATGCTTACTTATCAAGCCACAGAATTACTGTTTTGATGCGACTGGCAAGCCCTCAGGCTTTCTGATAGAACGCAACTAGGCAAGAGATCAGCTTAGCTACTGTGCGCGGCAATTACTTTCTGCTTGGTTGATCGATTTCTGGGATTAGCCTTGCGAAAGTGCCGGAAGTGATTACCAATATCCTATAACACAGATGATAAATTATTCCGTCGCCCAAGGACCTCATTAGTCTGCCAGTGACTCACAGTGTCGAATAAGATTCGGGATTCTCTATAGGCGATGTGATGTGCAGTTTGTTGCGGTGAACCAATCGAACATCTGATGCTCTTGTCTGGAGTATTCTATCGACTCCATAGGCTCTTGGCCATTGTTTGGGTATCGCACGGTTGTTACCAGACGGGAGACGGGAGACCTACTGGGTGACAGCTGCCATGCCGCCACAATGCATCGTCGATGAGCTGATCTTTGTAATGTTGAGTCATATCGACTGGAAATTTGGAGCATAAGATGGAATGAAAATTTGCGTCGACCCCTACGAGTAAGTCTTAATTACATTTCAATTTTGCCCCTTGCGGATCGGGGTATTATCCGCTGTCCGGGTCCTATTTCCGATCTAATCCGCCTTTGTGAGTGGACATGGGTAATTACGAGATTTGGTTTGTTTCGTTTCTAGCTATCTTTGCCATCTGAAGATTTTACACACAGACTTGACGATTCTTGAGGCTGATGACAACGAAACCATCCCTTCTTTTGGGCTGAATGAGTCTCAGTTGCTTGAGCAGTAGAACTTTCAAATCCTAGGTATTGCTTTGATATCATCTCTTGAGTTATGAGAACTGATGCGAAAACTTTCCGAATCCAGTTGCAGTCTCAAAATGCCTAGCTTAGTCTCAAATGCCAACCTTGTAAGATTAGTTCAGCTAGTGAGAGAAAATCTGGAGACAGAGATTTCGCTTCTCTGTTGCAGTGAAAACAGGGGCTGATAGAACCACCAACAGATCTTATGTGCAAAGTAGAGGGGAAGCAGAAACGGGCAATTGTTCGTCTTTTTTTCCCGCTCCCTACATGATCGTCTGTTTGTAATTCGTCTGCTGTAGGCCGAGCAGCCGAGGTAACTCATTCATATCTCCCAATCAGAGTTCTTCATACATATCTTACATCGTATTATGTTTCACCCATTCTCGAGCCATTGCTGTCACGCTTCGGGAATAACTTCAATGAGGAAACTCGGAGGTATAATATAGCTCTTTCAACTGTGTGTCATAATCGAGGGATGAAGTCCGCATTAACACCTTACCTTACTTTTCAGGACCCATTCTTGAAGAATGTATATAAGTTAACCAACTGTTTGATACATTAGATATATTCCCTGGTTGCCATCCCATACGCTCTACAATCGGATATCTTTGCTCTTTGCCAAAGCTCCGAGAGAAAGCCTCGAGTACACGGCTCGCGGGGGCTTCAATACGCGTCTCCTCGGGCATTTGGGTCCCGGAACTCTGGCAGCATATACCATGACAATTCGACTGACTTCCAATCGCAGAGCTTCTAGAAAGATATCTCGATGTACTGTTCTGTCCCACGTCTACTTGAGACTTGGCGGAGGCCGGATGTGTCTTAATACGGCTTGGGGCCGCCTCCCCTTTTGATGAATGATAACTAGCAGACCCAATTAGCCCAACGTATTCCTACCCACTGAGAAGCTGACATGAAACTCCACCGAAATGGAAATTAAAATATAGCTTTCTCTCCTTGCAGATGCAAGCATCAACTTCCCGACCTCATGGTAACGGCCCTTCAATGTCAATCTTTCTCTATTTCCCAAACCGGAAGTGCGGACGGCGTTCGCCTAGCATCTCCCAAGTTGTCAAAGGCTCACGCTTCGTAGTATGTTGATACCCATTGGGTAGGTCGTAGGAGATCTATGCCATTTCTAGATTCGCATAATCCAGACCTGCCGTTAGGGAATGAATAGGAAATTGGTCTACCGGACGTTGCGGAAGTTAATAGAGAGAGAGCAGAAAAGTTCAAGCCTCTCATTCCAAATTGTGAATGGTAGAAAATTCAAGGGTCGGCTCAGCTCTGTATCCGTGAGCGGTATAAGTCACTATTGTACGCATAAACATCTAGTATTCAGTTATGACCCAGTACCTTCGCAATATCAGACCTAGGATACAAGTGGATTCCTTCGAGTAGCTTGGGACCATTCTTTCGGGAAGCGCAATTCTTAGCAGGCTTCTTAACTCTTTCAACAACATGATACTCTTGCGTCAATAATAGAGACTGCTCCTTGAGAATGTACTTGCGGACCATCAGGGTTTCCGGTCTGTATTTGCAATCCAAATTCTAGTTGAAACAAGAATAGAAACACGCCGACACATCATCCCCACTATTCTCTCGTGCCCTGGGTTACACAATTGATGTCCCTGAAAGACGGAACCAAAAATCATACTGCCATTGCGCTAGTCCTCCCTAACACAGGACGGCTCGAGTTGACTGGAGAGGAAAGAACAATATCCACTCTCAAATGGAAGTACACTTCCAGATCATATCATAACATGTGCTATTTCTGGGCATCATGTCAGAGCTTCGAATAATATCACATTTTGATCACAAGCATTCGAAGGAAGACTGCCCTCACAGTATCCAAATCAAGGACCCTGATATATCAAGCTATCGTCTAGTAAGCCAGCTTTTATACTATCGAATTCTTGGATTTGCTGTGCAGATTATGGCATGTCACCGCAGCATTAGTACCTTGATCTTTAGCCGGATTTACTTCAAGCTGAGACGTTATACAATCATGTAAACTTAAAGTTTCGCAGCCTATTAGATGACATGGACGGGAAGGTGAAGCAAAAGATATGTTCAAGTGCTCTCTGGAGGATATTTCCTTCAAGAGCTTGGTTCGACCACGGATTGAAGAGCATACATGAAGCATGCTAAATCTTGGAACTTTCATGTAGTTTCTTACACGGCATGCGCCCCTGCCGCGAAATTTCAGCAGTGGTTGAAATTCTCGTTACATCTTCCCCTAAGTGGAGAGTATCGAGATCGTAGTGCAATGACCATAGAAATCTGTTGAAAAGGAGGAGAGTATTACATTAAAAGTGGGATGTGAAGTAGGATGTGAACGGAGATGAGAGATTCACATTGCCGAAAACGAAAGATGCGTGTGCAGCAACCTGCGGTATATGCCACTCACAACATGGCAAGCTTACAAGCAAACACTTTGCCTTAATCATGAAGTTATTCTCACTGCCAGAATCGTGATATCCTCAGTATCAAGTCATATATCCTTCACACTCCAGATGATTGATCACCTTAGGCATGTTAATAGTTCTACATCCTCCATCCCCATTTCGATTCCATCCACAAATCCATTCATTTACATTCCCCTCACATCTCAAGCACTCGACTGCAAGTATCCCATCAACCTTTGCACCCCCATCAAGGCAATGCAGGACTAGAAGTTCATGTTCACACAATCTCAGTTTCGCCTCACTCTGAGGTTTCCTCATCTCTTTATGCTCTGTCTGAAAAGCGACGATTACATTAGGAATGGTTTCGCCTTGATTTATTGATCCAAAGACAAATGATATTCTTCAGTCAACTTAATTCGCATGATGTGATGATGTTCCACCAATTTTAATATAATGGATGTAACTGGTTAACGGGGCCCGTCATTCACATCACATATCACCCATATAATACCAATATGCACAAATAAGCGCAAGTCAACCATTCCATTGCTCAATATTATCTCAAAGAGCCATGGCTCCATCATACTCAGTCCCGCACACCAGAGACCCCATCTAACACCACCCACACAGAGCCAAAATGAACCCCAGAAAACTAACCCCCCGATGTGGTACTTTGCCTATCAAAACGCCTAGAACCAGATTCCCAGTGAAGGTGCAGAGTGCACGCATGTGTGATGTTCCACGCGAAACCCGTTCTATATCCGAATAAGTATCTGAAAAATCAAAGCAAGCACAATCGGGCATCAGATGCTCAAGTAGCAGGCAAGAATAGGAAGCTCTTATAGGTAGGTAGGTATCAAAAGTCACATTTGAACTTAGAGTATCGTCTGATATAGGGAGGATGGTGCCGGTACTGGTGGTACGCTACTGACAGTCCCTCCTTGAGATGTAGTAATCTTCTTCCCTTCGTCATATCTTCTATTCACTCTACATTATTTCCCCAACCTCTATTTCTCATCCAACTATCCAGCCATGTAATCCTCGCACAAACCTTACTCTTTGAGTTTTTAAATTCTTCAGAAGGATATATCCTTTGTATTTCTATTCCCTCCATTGTCACAAGTTTCACCTATCTCATACAGCAACCTCCAAATCGTCGGATCTAAGGTGAATGTAATTGTGAAGCATATGCCGTAGGCTCTAGTAAAAATGCAATTATACATACCTTGCTTGCGATCCATACATGTACTTTCTCCACGCATGCATGGAGATGTATGATGTCCTGTCTTATCACTACAATAAACCCACAATATCTATCGCAAAATCATTGGTCAACAGCAAAGTCCACACTCGAACTAGACTTAAACCATGTTCTAGAAAGCTGATATGCGTGTATTTTCTGATGTACATACAAGATCAAGGCTAGCCCGTACTACTTTGCTATCCTTCAGTAGCTGCCATTTTGATACATAGATACAAATGCTGTGGCATCAGCAAAGAAACTCCCCAGTCCAATCAATTTGCAAACATTTTGTAACATAATTTACATTGACGCATTCATCATCACACTGTTGAAGTTTACCCACCACCAATCTAAAAGTTGATCAACATGGCCCGGTATGCTGTGCTCGTTTATCCTCTTCTACCCCTTTTTCTTCCCCCTGATTTCTCCATTTGTCTTCGTTCTCTTTCTTCTCTCCTTCTCGCATTTTGTTCTTCTGCAATCTCTCTCTTTCTTCTTTCCTCATAAGCAGCAGCTCTAGCCTTCGCCGCCGCATCATCTGACTTTGCTCTTCTTTCTTTTGCCATATCAACAACACCTTTCTTGGCGCTCTGGAACCCATCCATTACATTTCCCAAACTGCCATCCAATGAAAATCTCTTTGTGGGAGTAGTCTCTCCCCCAGTTCCTGGAACCTCCCTCATTCTTAGGGTGCTTTGGGGTGTTGATAGGTTCTGGGTTGGGATAGGAGTCATATTTGCCCAAGATCGGAACTTAGGGTTGCGGAAAAGTGTGGCCTGGCCGAAGGAGAACGAGGAGGATACCAAGAACGACAATTGAACAGCAGCGGGCATGAATGACGTGAAGATCATAGAGAGGAGAGGCATACCCCATTGCATGGCAGTCACCATTCCGGGTGTGAGAGTACTGACACCGGTTTCTCCACCTTTCTGTTATGGCCTCAATTAGCTCGCCAATTCTTCATGGGCAGCGTTCGAGGGTGTGGGAATGAGCAGAAGATAATATAAAAACGTGAACTAACCTTCAAAACGTAATGCAAGATTCCACTTGTAGCCAATGGTAATAGGAAATAAGGATCCGGGATACTCAAATTGTAGAACCACAGAATTCCTCCGTCCAAGAGCCCCGGAACAGGTACATCAGACATTTGCCTCAACAATTTCCAAGTTCCGTATCCAATGAAAATCTGTACTGCCGGCACAAAACTTTTCCACATCGAAATCCCCGCGCGGTTATATATGCGCTGCAATTCTGCTCTATGCAACATCATCTCCGCTGTGTCGCCCTTCTTTTTCGCCTCCATCATCTGAGCCTGGACGGGAGCAGTAAACTCTTTGATTGTAGCCATTCGAGATGCATTCTCTGCCGCATCAAGGAACGGCTTCAACAAGATAATTCTCCAAGCGGCAGCCGCAAGACCGATAGATACCCACCAGGGGGTTCCGGCGAGGACGTGGATATGCTCCAACATCCATTCCATAACAGCTGTGGGACCCCATCCATAGTCGAGACCAAGAGAGTGGAGGTATCCAATGTGTTCGGGTGCGGAAAGGATATCAGCATTGATATCCGGGGTGACATCGAGCGGGGTAGGTCTGAACTCGGGTGTGGAGGTTTCGACTGAGGGGATTGGGGAATTCACAGGAGGTATGGCAGAGGGTGTGGTTGACGCGAAACGTATGGAGGTGGCATTTCGAAGCAAGGTATTGGATTTTGAGAGGGACGATCGAGTAATTGACTGCGAAAATAATGTGCTGTTGCCTTTATTCGAAAGATGTGTATTATTTCTAATGGGTCGATGTACATTTGAAGAGAACTTATAGAAATCAGTGAAGTTCCATTTGTGCTTAGTCCTGCTATGAGAAAAGCAAATACCTGTCTAATTCCATATGATTCGATTCGCCGTCTACCTAGGGCCACCGCCTGGTTCGAACACCTTAACCCTCTGCTGGGTATCATTTTATTATATGTGGATGGTGATGGCTATTTCTTCCCCTCGTCAGTCGAAGATTCAGTATCGCAAAAATTATTGATCGCGAAAACTCGCATAACTCTCTGCATAAAATGAATAACATTTTAGTGCATTCCAAGATAGTCTACCACTAATCTAGATACCTACCTAGGTACAACAACCACAACCACAGTACGGGATGATCCAAGAAATCTAATGTCTAGAAATTCACTCGAAGATTATAGATATGGGCTTGCTGTACATGAAATGATATATCCGCGTGGTAAATTTATGACTTTGTGGCACGTTGTGATATGGGCTACGGATAGATTGATGTACGACCAGTTTTCACCCAGTCCTCTTGATTGTTTCCCATAAACCGGCAACAATCACATCTATGTGTTGTTCGATCTCCTCAGCAGCTCTGCTAAGTTTGCTCGAGTTTGCTGTATCTCCTGATCTTGAGATGCTCTCTATACCCTGTTTGCTCTTCTTTCCAGAAAAGAGTTGGCCATAACTCCTAACGCCAGTATCTTGTATAAGTTTTGTGTGATCTTTCCTTCATTCCAAGCTTGTCAAGTCGTCCAAGCTACCTTCTCTGCTCTTGCGTTCAATTGGACTATCTATGACTTCAATCCCTGGGCCTACAGATCTTCGTGTGAGAGGGAAAACCTATGTAAATAAAGTAATTAGCAAAAACTTTCGAATACAATGAGATAATACACGATCTTTGAATTGCGAAGAACACAACTGTATATTGCGTACTGGACCCAAGGATAAGAAGAAGAATAAAACAGACTTACCTTTGTGTTACTCCATCCCAACCTGAATGCAGCTTCATGGGCAAATAGCTCTCCAAATCCCAGCATAAGTCCATTCACGAACGGCAAGACAAGATTGATCGCAGCACCTCGAAGTAATCCCCAAATTGTAGGAGGAGAGTAAAGAATCATCTGTGGAGAATCTGATGAAGGTGGTGAAGGAGAATTTTCATCTTCATTGCGAGAATATTGCTCTGAGTCGGAGGGTATCGTTATCCCGGATTCAACAAGAGTGTTGAGCTGTTCGTCTGAAGACATTTTTCGAAATGTCAAGTATCACTCCGGGTAGCACAAGATGTTCTCTGTCGTATGATCTCTTTATTGTAGGTATCGATATGTCTGATGTGCTGAAGAAACTAGGTGTTTGACAATGTTGTCGCTTCCTACGGTAATTTTGGTATCACGGAGCATGATAATCCAATGCCGACCGAAGCTTTGACGATTTTTCTTATAAATGTGGAAGAATTCAGCCCCGCCAAAAAAGAACGTCATCCCAAGCTGCCTCGTTGGTTTGTTTCTTTCTGTAACATTTCACCATCAAGCTACAAAATATTTTACACTTTCACAGGATAACTTGAAACTTCTTCAAAACCAGTCTACATTTTAGTCAATTATCTATTTCGAGGATCATCGCCTTCAAATACTACAAAACAATCATGGCAGACACCAGTAATCATGATGAGTTGATCTCTCAATTCTGCGAAATCACCAATGCTTCCCCATCAGAGGTACGATCATAGACACAGGAAAACCCCTCTAAAATCGTCATGTTTTATGACCATCGAGATTGATCTCATGTCGCTGACTCTCTTTGTTTCTTAAATTTTAGGCTCAACAATTTCTCTCCGCAAATCAATGGGACTATGCATCAGCTATGACAGAATTCTTCACTGCTCAAGAAGAAGGAAATGCAGGAGCCTCAGAACCAATCGATAGCAACGATCAAACCGAAACTCCAACACCGTATACGGGACCCCGAACACTCGATGGCAGACCTGCTCCCGATAATGGCAAGAAACCTGCAAAACCAACTGCCACAGCCGGTAGAGCTGGAGGACGTGGAGGCATCGCAACTCTTGGGTCACTAAATCAAGGATCATCGAGCCATGGGGATCGTATAAACAACGCCGACGACAGTGATCCAGATTATGAGCCAGATGAACAACCAAGAGATTTATTCGCTGGTGGAGAAAAGTCAGGATTAGCTGTTCAAGATCCCTCGAGAAAACCCGATGCGAGAAAGATTGTTGGTGATATTCTTAAGCAAGCTAAAGCGTAGGTTCCTCTTTTCAAAAGTCTGTAGACTACATCCTTACTTAACATATACAGAAATTCTTCAAGGGAGACTGGAGAACCTTCTACTCCAGCCGCAGCAACACCATCTCGATTCCGTGGCAGTGGTCAAACCCTCGGTGGCGATGATGCTCCTTCTCAAGTAATTCCCGATCCTCATCCTCCTGCTGCAGCTTCTTCCGAGCTTGTGACAAGAATTCTACACCTTTGGGAGGATGGTTTCAGTGTTGAAGACGGGCCACTTCGTCGATTCGATGACCCGGCAAACGCGCAAGACCTTCAGGCGATACAAAGTGGTCGTGCTCCTCTGCACTTGATGAATGTTAGACATCTCCAACCCGTTGATGTTCAGTTGCACAAACACGATGGACCTTACAAAGCTCCCCCCAAGGTCTACAAGCCATTTGGTGGCTCAGGCCAGAGACTTGGTAGCCCTACACCTGGCGGCTCCAGCACTCCGCCGGCATCCACCCCAGCGCCTGCACCTACTGCCACCTCGACGGCGACCCCAGAAGTTCAGGTTGATGAATCGCAACCAACACTCACTCTCAGACTTCAGTTGGCAAACGGAACTCGTCTTCCAGCTCGATTCAACACTACGCAAACTGTAGGCGATGTATATGACTTCATCGCAAGAGCAAATTCCGGTAGCAACGAGCGCGCTTGGGTACTTGCAACCACTTTCCCAAACAAAGAGCATACCGAAAAGAGTCAGGTCTTGGGTGAAATGCCAGAATTCAAGAGAGGCGGTACAGCCGTGCAGAAATGGGTTTAGTGGGAGTGTAGATGGATTTGACAGGAGCGTTTTAGAGATTCGCGAACATGCAGAATCAATTATGATGAAGCTTTTACTTGCTGGCTACGGCCAGAAGGCGTTTAAGGAAGTCCGGGAGCACATAGCATTTTTTTTTAGGCATAGATAGGTGATTCGTCAAACCGCAATGCTAGACGGAAAGATATAGCGTTCTCAAGGTTCCCCATGTGAATATCATTAATATTGAGTGAGGTTTCATAAGTAGAGTCTACGGCTACCGCAGAATTGACATTATTGTACTTAGTTGCCCATCGTGGTACCTACCTCGAATGCATAGATGCACGCTTCGCCATTTTAGCATGTGCAATTTTTTATTTTTTTGAGATGTCGGCTATAGCAAGTCAAATGAAACAATAATAGCCTGTAGATCTCTCCACTTCACATTGGTCTCGACTCTGGAGTTATCGATATCGAATCAAGCCGAACCAAGATTCAGTGTCAAACTCGTAATCGATGAAGAATTTCAAGAAATGGAGAGGACAGAGAAAAGTGGAGATTGAGACCCTCTCCGAATGCACCATCTGCAAGCCAACGCACTGATCGACACATTAATACGGGCCGAGAAGAGAAGGGCTTTCGATCGAACCCCCAACATTGGGGGTGGGTGGATGGGTGGATGGGTGAGAACTGAGGAAGGGATGTGTTTGGGAGGGAGGTTGGAATTTGAGAGTTTGGGAGTTTGGGAGTTTGGGAGGTGTAGGGGGGAAAGGGAGGGGGGTGGGGGGAGTGCAGTGTATGGTGAGGGTTTTGATGGATGGTTGGAGGCTGGATGATACGGGTATAGGTATGGGTATGGGTATGGGTACGGGTACGGGTACGGGTACGGGTACGGTGTACAGAGAGAGGACTAGGTAGGCAGTTAGTTGTCTTGAGAGAAGGGAGAGGGAAGAAAAAGCGAGACGAAGAAAGCAAAAGATACAGAGGATCAACGAAATGGTATAATCAATTCGTATTGCAGGTACTAGACCGGTTGGGGTCGAACAAACGTTCATGTGCTCGCTTGGCTTGAGCCATACAGTGATAAGTAGCTGGGAACTATTAAGTGAGTACTGACTGTAGATGACTGGGCATGGATTGATGGCTTTTGCTGGAAGGACTTTTAGTTGGATATGCGATCTTCAATCTAGTGGCCCAAGATTTTGGTTTGTGCAGGGAATGTTGATTGAATGATTGAATGATTGATTGAGTGTCGAATGGTTGATATATTATATATTGGATTGTTATTAAATATCTATCTATCAGACTTTATGTGAAAGTTAATTTTACTTTGCAAAGGTTAGGTACATTAGGTACTTGTAAGTAATCTCGTTGCTTATCTATTTTCCCCCCCCCCATGTCTTTCCTCTGCTGGGAGAGTCAGGGGGTGCGAGAGAGATAAGGAATTGCAGGGCCAGCTTGCCTTTTCCCCGTTTCAAGGGCCGGAGAGGCAGTTTAGCTGATTAAGGTACGGAGGGGACGGAGGGTACGAACGAATCACGGTGACGGGGAATTTCAGTGAAACATTTTGATTATTTACGATTCGGCCCCTGGACACGTTCATGGATCTGGACTGGATCTAGAGATGACTTTAACTGGACGTTCACTCAATGCCAAGGCTCAAGGGATTGGGGATTGGATTCTAATGACTCTGTGTCTTGTAGCGTCTCGACCTATCATGATTCATTGTGTTGGGAAAGTAAGTATACACTCCTGTGTGGGAATTAGGGTAGGGGTCTCTGTCAAAAACACCATTGACTTTGAATAAGGTTAGCTAGGGAATGGGACATCTTCTCCTACTTGATGTATGTTATGTAGTGAGACGGGAGCGAGACGGGAGGTGAGGTTCATACCGTCGTTATGAGGAGAGAATGGGATTGAATTGGATCTTGATGTATGATGTATGATGTATGATGATACAACAACAATAATGCTACTCTACTCGTCAATACCCAGTTCCTCTCTCCTCTCAACAAATATCCCGTGTCAAACAAACACATTTATTCTCAGAATGGGGGACAACCCATCTAGCCACTAGACCTCTCTGAGGACCTTTTAGTATGCGCATACCTAGTACCCGTGGACATCCCTAGTATCCATATGACGTAGTGATCAAGAACCCGACCTCCGCCAAGAAGGAGACGAACGGGCAAAAGAAAAGAAACGAAAGAAACGAAAGAAACGAAAGAAAAGAAAGAAAAAAAAAAACTTCACTGGATTCGGGAATCGGGACTGAGTCTAAACCAATCAAGAGAAGTAAGAAATGGATATTTATGGAAACGCCCCGATTGAGTATATGGTGGCATATGGGTTTGTGATGAGATCTTCCTATCAAATTTCCATAGAGATACCTGGGTAGGTAAGGAGGGTAGATAGATACTATGTATGTATGTGGTACTATGTATGTACTATGTATGTTTAAAGGTAAATCATAAATTTCCGATGTTCTGTTTCCATCTCGGTTCCTTTCTCCGTTCAGACCTATCCATCTTCATTTTCATCTCCATCTTCACATTCAATTACTTAATCATTCAATCCCTTCCCTTCCCTTCCCTCCTCCATTCGTTTACGTCCTCCACCTCTCTTCTCCACTGTCAACAAATCGCTCTCCACTATCAATGTCAGTTTCACGCTCACTTCCATCGTCGTCATCATCATCTCGTCACTCTCGCTTTGGTCCCTTTTCTTGTTTCTCTCCCTTCCGCCTTCGTACATACATTCCCATTTCTTTTTCCAATCCCCACATATTCTTCACAACCTCCTATCGCCTCGTCGAGAACGTAACGATCTCCAACCAAATTTGTTCAGATCGGCCTTGGGACAAACCGTCTCGCATCACTTTCGACTTGCTCGACTCCTGTTAATCTACCAACGCGGATTGCTATCCCTGGATTAGAGTCACCTTTATCACGTCAAGACTCCTCACTGATCTATTCTTGATCAAATACCCTTATCACGTCAAGATCCCTCACTGATCTATTCTTGATCAGATACCCTTATCCTCAATGAGATCGTGGGGTTGATCTTGGGCCCAGTTTTGTAAACAGATCTACCCCATAATACAACTTTTGGGAAATCCGTCCAACGTTTGTTCCACTTCAAATAGAAATCCCGACATCATGTCGACGCCAATTCAAGAAAAGGAACAGTTTTCGTTTCCTGCATTTCCAGCCGA